GCCATCCCACACAGAAACCCACTCTCTACAGCATCTGAAGGCTTTGAAACCTCTTGAGCTTGCATCCCTTCTGTGGCTTCCACCAGTCCCAGAAAATGTTAAAGCACAATAAAGTGTCCACAGACCTGACATAATCTGACCCCTCTCCTCCTGCCCAAACTGGATGCCTTGACAAGCACTCACAGGACCCAACTGATCTCCCTGTAGAGACCCTAAGGATCCTCCGGTTGCATTGTCAAGAGAAGGAAAGTGAGGCACAGAGGTAAGAGACCATGCTGACATTGGCCTCCCTAAGCCTTGTAATAGAGGCAGTTCTTGTCACCACCCCCATATCATGTCACAGAAAAATGCCTGAATAGACAGGTATAGAAAAGAAGCCCCCAGATCCCCTCCAGTCACTCAGAAAATGTGACTGACTACTGCCTCCCTTCCCAGAAAGCACACCCTGTTGCAAGAGTGTAAGGAAAGGATTTCTGTCCTGAACTCCCAGATTGAGGAAGAGAAGAGCAAACAGAGACAACTGAGGTAAACTCCAGTGCATGAGGCTGGGGGCAAATGGGATGCAAGTTGTATAATAATTGGTATAGATTAGAGGAGTTGGACCTAATTGAGTCCTGGAGGGTCAAGGGGGGGGGTGAAAGTAGTCCCCATGGACCAGAGGACATGGGCAAAACCTCTCCAAGGACTATGCATGAAGACGCCCTACCTGGGTCAAGTTGATCTTAGCCCATAGCCATCATGCATCTTTGGTTGACTCCTAGGTTGGATTTTGAGGAACAGCTGGAGACTCTGATGGACCAACACAAGGACCTCTGGGAATTTCACGTGAGTCATTCAAAGTCATACCTCCCAACTTCCACATCATCTCACCTATCACACCTTGTTCCTGCGCAAGTCTTGATGGTCCTACCATCACCACCACCCTGAATCTACTCCCTTGTCAATACCCTTGAGGTTCCCAGTGTCCTCACTGCTGGTCTTGCATATCCATGCTGCCCTCCTGTGTCCATTCAGTGGTCAGGAAGAATTCTGACAGCACCAAGGTGGAGTGATCCATTGAGAACATCTATGGATGTGACAAGAACATTGCAGGTGCAGAGGAGACAGCAGGGAACAAGCAGCCAGTGTTTGCTCCCAGCAAATCTCCAAATAAGGACACAAAGAATGGATGAAATGTCAGGAAGAAAGGGATCAGTGAGAAGACCACCAAGGGAAGGGAAAGGGGAGGAGGTGCAGTGCTGTGCTGGTAACCAATGTGCCATAGCTGTAGTTTCTACAGGACTGCCTGTTGTAAATACTTCCCCAGCACCTATTTCCACAGTGAAAGGTGTCAACAGCCATTGCAAAGATCCTGAAACTGGACCATGGCTGGCATGCATGCAGAGGTAGGAAACTAGGAAGTGAGATGTGAGGAGATAAATGGTTGGATCCAGGCAGACTTCTCTGAGTCATGGGAGGCTGGGAGGTATGGACAAGCCTTGTTTCTGCCCCTGCCCCCACCAGAGGCCGGAGCAGCTGGCAAGAGAGATTTGTGCCCTGGACAGCAGCAAGGAGAAACTGCTGAAGGAAGGTGAGGCCAGGGAAGCAGGGTGACCCAGCCCTGCCCTGCCCTGCTGTCACATGACTTCAATGCCCCTTATTGTTGCAGAGAAACTGGTTGAGGTGAAACTGGAAGATGTGAAGCATCAGCTCTGCTCCCTGTTTGGGCCTGAGGGTCCCTCCAACCTCACTGAGGGACTCTTTCTCCGCAGCCAGGAAGCTGCAGCAGCAGTGTAAGATAAGTTGGGGGAGGGAACAGGATGAAAAAGTGGTTAATGCTGACCCAGCATCCCACCCTCAGGGAGATGTTCAAGGAGGAAAACAGGAAGGCTGAGGAGCTCCTGGAGGCTGCGGCCCAGCACCACCAGGAGCTACAGCAGAGGTGTCAGCAGCTGCAACAGAAGCGGCAGAGGTGAGCATGAAGTTCCTGTGCCCCCCACCCATCTGAAGGTGGATGACAGGTGTTTCCTCCCCTCTCTTCCTGCATGTCCTTTCACATCCCCTTGTCCTTCCTGTATTCCTTATTCTATTCTTCCCCTCTTCCTAACCAGGCTGAAGGAGGAGCTGGAAAAGCATGGAGTTCAAATCTCTGCTCAAGCACAGAACATGCAAGAGGAAGGGACCAGCTCCCGAAAAGTGGTGAATCCTGGAACTGGGTGGCAGAGAGCAGAGACAGTTCGTGAGGGGGGCTGGGTAAGGGAGCATGGAAGATACTGGGAGTCCAGGGGGATGATCTGTGGGTAAGGATGTTCCAGCAGGAGACACAGCCAGAGCAAAGATGTGGGCTGCATGCATGATAGTGATGGGCAGGGAAGGGTGGCTATGGATGGTATAGCCATGTGGATTAGTGGGGACTGCCACTCTGGACCCTGACCTCCCACAGGCCATTCCCAAATTTCTAGAAGTCCATGAGGAGAAAGATCAGGAGCTGCCCACCAAGCAAGACCTGATACCCTCCTAGGCCAAGAAGACACACCCCATTCCAATCTCATCCCATTGGGCTGCATGAAATAAAGGCACAATTTTGCTACAACCTGCCTCAGCTGAGTCTGTGGTGAGTGGAGGGATGGGAGTGAGGGCCCAAGACCCCCAGGACCCTAAGCCTGGTGATGCCTTGGCCCAGGTCTGCCTTTTGGCCTGTTCAAAGTCTACAGGCACTCAGTAAAAGCTTCCCCAAATTCCTGGTCTCTGGTCTTGTCCTCTCCAATATTTGACATACTGTTCTGGCCTCAAGCAGAGGGAGCCTACCTACTCACAAAAGGCCCAGGTAGCCTTATTTCCACTCTGGTGATTTAATTCATTCATGTAGGTCTGCACTTCACAGGCTCTCAGAAATTTATAAAAAACAAGGACAAGGGAGCTAGGATCCAAAGCCAGTCAGTTCCGTGCTGTACTCCACTCGTTAGCTAAGAAAAAGAAATGTACTTTGAGGTTATGTGTAATCTGTGTTATCACAGACACAAAATATATAACCAAGACACTCCTTTCCAGGAAATACTGTAAGAAATGCTCCTTATGCAAGGGAATCAGTCAGCTAACACTTACATATTGTGCATCTGAGGCATGTTTCAGATTCACCAATGAAGACCAGTGATGGCAGTCACAGTCTGCATCTCCTGGGTCCAAATACAGTGAATTAATGATATAGAAGTTCTTTCTCTTGACATACTAGATAGGCCAGTTACACCATGGGGTTAGGAGAGGTTCACCTAAGGCTCCCAAGCTGAGGAGGAGCACTGTTTCTATGGAAGAACATACTCTTCCATAGTGGGGAATCACACCAAGACTCAGCAGCAAATCTCTGACATAGTCTATGTCAGCTCTCTGACTATGAGATGGAATTAATAATACTTGTGGTAAAATGAACTAGTAATAATCTATCAAAATGACACTCATATCACATGAAAATTAGCAAACACATTGAACTGCATGGCAATAAAACACCACATTCAGCTAAGCTCATGAATTCAGCACCTGTTCCTTCAAAACATCCATAAATTACACATAGAAAATAATTTCCCTTGTACTTACTGATGAAATGGTTAAAGCATTGTGTGTTAGAAATAATTCATGGGTATCTTACATTCAAATATTATTCATCATAATGCAAGCTCTAGAAGGTGAAAGGGATAAGGACTTTAGAATGTACATACTTTAGAAATCTTAACCTATATGTAGATTGTAAAATGACTAAATGAATATATAGTTAATTAGCTAAGTACAGGTCCGTACTCAAATATCATGTCTATGTCTGGATACCATGGATTAGGACCCCATATGACAATGCTTAAGAGTCTGAAGTTTATTAAAGGAAAAGGACCTAACCAAGTAATAACATTTAAGTCAGCATATGAATCTGGTGGACCATGCCTCACGGTGTGGTCCATGGAGAAAGGCAAAAATTCTCTTTTCTGCACAGTTACATCAGAATGTATGTCCTCCCTCAGGTCAGGAACTTGGCATGTGTGCACAAGACATTTCATATCCAGGGAGCCCCAAATGGAGAGTAGGCTGGCTTCTCACCCTGTTTGTCATGTGGGCAGATTCTAGCTGCATACCAGCACCCCACAGAAGAGTCCTCCTGTGTCCTCACCAAGACCAGCTGAGAACCTGGCCAATAATCAATTTCATGAGTATCGATAAACAATGCTAACAAGATGATATGAACCACACCCACATTCAGCTCAGTAATACATTTCATACCTCAGGTCAGTGCCACACAGATTGATCTCACCTCATGGAAAGAGCTAAGCACATTTCACTGTGGTTAATATAACCAGTAACAAATAACAAAAATAAATTTTAAAACATTTTCCAATATCATAAAAATATCAAAATTTGACATTAATATAATAATAGCTTTGTATAATTCTCCCAAAAGCTTTTAAGAAGTTTAAAAGAACTAAATAAATCCAAGAACAGGATCACGGTCATGAATTGGAAAGGCATTGTAAGGATGTCATTTCTGCCCAACATGAGACACAAATTCATTATAAAGTTTCAATATTTTATGTAAAAGCAGAAGCTCATTTTTTTAAAATATGGAAATACAAAGGTCCAAGCAGCTTCAACATCATTTTTTTTCATTTTTCTTTTATTATTCATATGTGCATACAAGACTTGGTTCATTTCTCCTCCCTGCCCCCACCCCCTCCCTTACCACCCACTCCTCCCCCTCCCTCTCCCCCCCTCAATACCCAGCAGAAACTATTTTGCCCTTATTTCTAATTTTGTTGTAGAGAGAGTATAAGCAATAATAGGAAGGAACAAGGGTTTTTGCTGGTTGACATAAGGATAGCTATACAGGGCATTGACTCACATTGATTTCCTGTGCGTGGGTGTTACCTTCTAGGTTAATTCTTTTTGATCTCACCTTTTCTCTAGTACCTGTTCCCCTTTTCCTATTGGCCTCAGTTGCTTTAAGGTATCTGCTTTAGTTTCTCTGCGTTAAGGGCAACAAATGCTAGCTAGTTTTTTAGGTGTCTTACCTATCCTCACCCCTTCCTTGTGTGCTCTCGCTTTTATCATGTGCTCATAGTCCAATCCCCTTGTTGTGTTTGCCCTTGATCTAATGTCCACATATGAGGGAGAACATACGATTTTTGGTCTTTTGGGCCAGGCTAACCTCACTCAGAATGATGTTCTCCAATTCCATCCATTTACCAGCGAATGATAACATTTCATTCTTCTTCATGGCTGCATAGAATTCCATTGTGTATAGATACCACATTTTCTTAATCCATTCGTCAGTGGTGGGGTATCTTGCCTGTTTCCATAACTTGGCTATTGTGAATAGTGCCGCAATAAACATGGATGTGCAGGTGCCTCTGGAGTAACAGTCTTTTGGGTATATCCCCGAGAGTGGTATTGCTGGATCAAATGGTAGATCGATATCCAGCTTTTTAAGTAGCCTCCAAATTTTTTTCCACAGTGGTTGTACTAGTCTACATTCCCACCAACAGTGTAAGAGGGTTCCTTTTTCCCCGCATCCTCGCCAACACCTGTTCTTGGTGGTATTGCTGCTGATGGCTATTCTAACAGGGGTGAGGTGGAATCTTACCGTGGTTTTAATTTGCATTTCCTTTATTGCTAGAGATGGTGAGCATTTTTTCATGTGTTTTCTGGCCATTTGAATTTCTTCTTTTGAGAAATTTCTGTTTAGTTCACGTGCCCATTTCTTTATTGGTTCATTAGTTTTGGGAGAATTTAGTTTTTTAAGTTCCCTGTATATTCTGGTTATCAGTCCTTTGTCTGATCAACATCATGTTGAAAGTGAAGAAGATGGGGAGACAGCTAACAGTGTCAGAACATTGCATGAACATTGTAAGAACACTGCATGAACAGTGCATAAGACCTGTGGCATTGAGGCCACAGAGAGGGACAGGTGGCACAAAGGGAGAGTCTAGGAATAGGCTGGTGCATGTTGCATGGCTGAAGACAAAGGTTGCCACACAGAGCCATTTTCAATTTTTGCATCAGCATTGCTAGATCAAATGGATACATTAGATAAAAAATAACATTGGCCCTCATACCATACAAGAAGAGCCATATTTTAAAATGTGAAAAACAATTTTGAAGAAAAACTTCATGATATGGATATTAGAAAAGCATTCTTAGATTGTAATTTTAAAGCATAGATTCTAAAGAAAAAGGTTGATGAGTTTACATGAAGCTTCATTAGAATTGAGAATTTGTCTTCTGAAACAGTTGGTGGGAATGTAAATTACTTCATATACTATGATAATGAGTATGGGGGTTCCTCAAAAAACTGAAAATAGAATTACAATATTTGCATATCTATGTTTATCACAGCACTATTCACAATTGCCAAGTCATGGAATCAGCCTAGGTGCCCATCAATGGATGAATGTAAAAAAAAAAAACAGGTGTGTTGTTAAGGGGTTTTGTGTGTGTGTGTGTGTGTGTGTGTGTGTGTATGTGAACATGTGTAGAATTCATCCATTAAGAAGAATGAAATGTCATTTTCTGGTGAGTAGATGGAACTGGAGATCATTATATTAAGCAAAATAAGATTCAGAAAATTATTACATATATTCTCTCGTGGAATTAAAAAAACATTAAAGTAGAAGGACTATTAGACAATAGGAAAGTGACCAGTGGGAAGGGAGGGTTACATGTAGATAAAAGGGTGTAAATATGATTAAAGATCCTTACATACATCTATGAAAATATCATATTAAAATCCCATTATTTTGTAAAATTAATAGATGCTAAGAAACATCACTGTTGGGTAAGAATGGCATAGAGTGGGAGTAGATTTTGCATTGCATATTTTTAAAAAAAGCTTATAGCACACAATAAAAGAACTACATATTTATAAGTGAAAAAACTAGACAATGCAATATAAAAAGTCAGTCTAGAATCTTCAATGAGCACTTTGTAAGTGAAGGGACATTCAATGGACAAATTTACAAAATGTGTACAAACTCATAAAATTTTTAAAGCAGCAAATACTATTAAATAGCAAAAACAATTACAACAAAAGCAAAAACAATAAAGAAAAACCAGTTTAACAGAGCTCGCAAAGATGTCTAGGGATTGGTGTTGTCAAACACTGCTGGTGGTAGCTTAGGATGGTACAGCCGCTTTGGAAAACAATTAGTATCTACTCAGGCTTACCCTATGAGCCAACAATTTCAGTTGTAGGTGTTACAGTACCAAAATACTTTGCAAGAAAGCTCTCACATACTGGCTGGGATAGAAAAATACTAGGGGTTTGGTGAAAAATAGAGGGAATGGTGAGAGGAAGATGGCAGAAAGGGTTTTCTGTGACACTGTTAATGTTCCATTTCTGGGCTATATGGCAGTTATATGGTAGTTACCATTATGAGAATTCATTTGCTTGTGTAGTTTTGATGTTCTGACTTTGTTTGTTTGGGTCAATAAAATCAAGTTTATTAATTGAAGGGTGGTAGTGAGGAATTATAGAGACAGGAATAA